AGAGTTAGTAGTTACTACTATAGTCAGTGGATACTACTATAGAGTTAGCAGATACTACTAAACAGTTAGTCGTTACTACTGTAGAGTCGGTAGATACTACTGTAGGGCCAGTAAATACTACTACGGTCAGTCGTTACTGCTACAGTCAGTAAATACTAATATACAGTCAATAGCTACCACAGGCTCAGTAGATACTACTGTACAGTCAGTAGATACAACTACGTCTGAAGAGGCACCAACACGTGGCCGGGGACCCGAGTGAGGGTCCGACCCTTCGTGGCTGTAACCCCTATGTATAGTGTAGTCAGCTCGGTGGTCACCACCCCAGGCTGTATCTGGTAAAGGGGCAGTTACGCCTTTGTATATACGTGTTACAATAAATATGTTGCCTCTGAAGAAAAACGTCTGCGACTCAGTTGGACTCACTGCAGATTTACCATGGTTGAAGATGGTGACGATTGGTGGTGCATAACTTAAATCTTGTGAATCGGGAGGCTGAGTTGTTCGAATCATGCGTGCACTTGTACTCAAAGGTCAGAATATTATCTTCTAGTTGCTTTGATAAAGCCCAGCTCTTAAAACCTTTATGGCCACATGCAGTCATTACTTCGAATCTGATCTGATCAGGATCTTGGAAGCTCAGCAGGTTTCAGTCTGGCAAGCGCCTGGATGAGTACTCAGGTTTCCCACCACAAGCCAACACAAACATTAATGAAACTGCCAAAAACATCCCAATGTAAGGCCTTCTAAAAAGAAAGAGTCTTAAGACTCAGTGAGACTCTCCTAGGTAATTTAAATACGTACGTAATGGAATAGGGCGAATGCTACAATACAAATTCTGCCTTCGGTATTTGTTCTTACAAACACTATATTGCTTCTATGTGAAATATAATGCACCAGTTGGAAATGCGGATGAAATTGAAAATCCTTTGTTCAGCAAATGTGCCCAGGATTCTATAGAATGTCACAATACATGGGCATAGTTCCTTTCATGAATCAATATGCAGTACTCTATATATACATATGCCCAGTTATTGTACATATAATCTATAGTAGTATGCATCTATAGATTCTGCAGGTGTGTGAATAAAAAACAGATGTGTAAATACATACAAACTCGTCGTGTGAATCAACATAAGCCACAGTGATGTGAATCTATAGAATCTGTAATGTCCTGAGTGCTACAGTATATATATAATCTACATAGACATAAACAATATAATTAATCACGTGGTATTATCAGCCTATAACTTCCCACTGCTGGACACTACCATCATAACCGAATTCCAAATATACCAATCGATTCTTACATGCGCAGTATTGATTAATTGTAACAAAATCGTTCATTAATGGCAAAACCCCATTTACTCCAAAGACAAAGATCCCCCGAACAGACTGTAGGGGCAAGTGCTGTTAGCGAGCACCTATAAACGCAGGAAGGGCACACGAGAGGGTGGGTGGCCAACACCACGCCCGGCCGCCTTCGTCTCCCCCCAGTGGCGATGTTAACGCACCAGGTATCCATTTGAGGCTGTGTCGACCTAGGGGAGGCCCAGGACAGGTTAAAATATTCGTCACCGACGTTGGACGTGAAGCGATAATAGAACCCGGGTGGCCGGTGTTTGCAATGCAGCGCTCTGATTGCTGCGCCACCGCTCCCCACCCAATTAACCCCGCACACGCACAGACGCCTCCTTAGCAAGGCTAGGACTTGGCAATTCAGTAGCGGCGGCAGCAGCAGCATATATTTTAAGGTTCTGCCGAGTTTATTTGCGACCTGTAATTACTGCACTACATTAACGCGAGCGCTAATAAGGCTTATGGCAAAGTAGAACTCTCCCCCCCCACCCCGCCTGTCAAGTAATCCTAATTAATCCCAAATGCATCGTATTACTTAAGACAGTGCCTTCGCAATCCGGCGTTAAGACTGGCGCACACACGCGTCTTTCACCCGCTTCGGGTAATAACAACGCGGCTTGACCAGGTCGCAAAGGTGCAAAAGGTTCTCCTTGCACTGAACTCCCGGCCAGGTGGCTCAGTGGCAGGAGGGTGTGGTGGCGAGATTACAGCAAATCTTGGTTGGCGGTTGACTCAGCCCATCATTCCTTAGGGGGGGGTCGATAAAATAAGAACCGGTTTGTTGGGAAATCAATAATGTCACGATTTTCCCGTGGATCGACTCGCCCTGGCCATGGGAATGGAGAATTTCCACCACTGGCTCACAGCTGAGCACCGCCTAAGTGCTCATCAGAGGCAGGAAATCATCGATTTGACGTAACGATGTTTTCTAGTTTTTGGTTCTCCGATGTGTTTTTTTTGCGGGGTCATTCCTCGCGTTGTCTGGCATACGCTGCGCGACGTTTCGCTCCACGCGCCCGCTTGCTGACAGCTTCTTCAGGAACTCACATCGTGCCCAACAACCACGCGGTGCAGCCTGAAAACACACCAGCGGCCTACGCAGCACAACCGTGAAAACCACAACGCAGATCTTAGAGCATTGCCCATAAATCGCGAGCACGCAATTGGGTAACGCGCGCACACACACACGCACAAAAGCGACATGACGGACAGCGCATGCATTTGTTCATTGATCGATTGACTCTACTTGACCATGTAGAGAGCACATTGAGACTTCGGGTCTATTTTTCAGGTTTCTCTACCTAATGAGCCGCTTTTTTTAATTGTTGTCAGATTTCGAAAGCCAAGCAGGTTGGGAGCCTGGACAGTGCTTTGATGGGCGAGCAACCATGCACGACAGGTTGTTCCGGAGCTGCGTTGTGGACAGAGACAGCGAATATCATTGTTGTACTGTACTTACATGGTCCTGCCCCTTTGCCCCCCCCCCCCTCTAACCCCGTCTGTACAAGTCCATCGCCACACGGAGCCACACGGAGCGGGGTTTTCTCGTGACCTTGATCACAAAGGTTTTGTTTCGCTCATATATAACATTAAGTGCAGCGGCGATGTCATATAATCTTACACAGACATACATAGCGCCTTAATCCACGGCGCTTTGCAACATTCGCAATAGATGACAGTGGTGGAAATGAAGAGTGAGGCTTACCTTGTGCGCAGGCGGTACAACTGCACCTGGGACCCCTCATGCCAGAGGGGTGCAGGTGCCGGGGTACGAAAGATAGTTCGGGGGGGGGGCCGAAGGGTAATTGGCTATGGGGGGGGGCATGGCTATGGGTTTGGGAGGGGGGCCGGAAGGTAATTGGCTATGGGGGGGCATGGCTATGGGTTTGGGAGGGGGGCCGGAGGGTAATTGGCTATTGGGGGGGCATGGCTATGGGTTTGGGAGGGGGGCCGGAGGGTAATTGGCTATTGGGGGGGCTTGGCTATGGGTTTGGGGGGGGCGGAGGGTTATTGGCTATGGGGGGGTATGGCTATGGGTTTGGGGGGGGGGGCGGAGGGTAATTGGCTATGGGGGGGCATTGCTATGGGTTTGGGGGGGGGGGGGCGGAGGGTAATTGGCTATGAGGGGGGGGCTTGGCTATGGGTTTGGGGGGGGCGGAGGGTAATTGGCTATGGGGGGGCATGGCTATGGGTTTGGGGGGGGCCGGAGGGTAATTGGCTATGGGGGGGGGCTTGGCTATGGGTTTGGGGGGGGCGGAGGGTAATTGGCTATGGGGGGGCATGGCTATGGGTTTGGGGGGGGCTGGAGGGTAATTGGCTATGGGGGGGCATGGCTATGGGTTTGGGGGGGGACCGGAGGGTAATTGGCTATGGGGGGGGCATGGCTATGGGTTTGGGGGGGTGGGGGCCGGAGGGTAATTGGCTATGGGGGGGGCATGGCTATGGGTTTGGGGGGGGGTGGGGGCATTTCACTCCTCTCTCAGCGGTCCATGCCAAAGAGCGCCTTTCAGCCTCCTGCTGAGAGGCGCTGCTGCTGCGAGTTGCCTCCTACGCTGCTGGTGCAGGGCATCGCGGTTTCGAGCAAGGCCCTGCGATTAACGTCTCATCCCGCAAAGTCATCCGCTTAGCGCACAAGTTCACGTGGTGGGCAAGGGGAGGGGGACGGCGGCTAGTGTCTTCGCTGACCGCTGCTTCGCCGGCAGCAAAGGACGGAGAGCCCCGATGTAAGTTACCCCGTGTAGACCAATGTGTGCTGCGTCTACGTGGTGGGAATTCGACGTTCCCGTGCCGATTGTCCCTACAGGGGATGATGTTGCTGAGCACTATGACCACAGTGAATACGGGCTGCGTGTTATTGTGTGCCCGGTGTCGCCGCCGCGATATAACGTCCGAGTTTACGATTATCCGAGTACGTTAAGTCGTCGCTTAACGCGTGTTCACGCGATGCGTTTTCGCAGCAGCAGCAGCGACAACAACAACGACGACAACGACAAGAAATTCGGCTCTCCCATCGGGGAGGGCTTTTCACGCAACGCGCGGAACGCGCGCGCCGTTATAACGCGGAGGGCGCGCTCCTTACAACGCGCTCCGTGACCGGCCTCGAGCTGAGCGGCGCGATGCAAGCACGTGGAACGATACGGCGAGGTGGCGGCGTTAGCCCTCGAGTTTGACTGTCCCGACACCTTGCTGCCTGTGTGTGTGTCTGGGCGTTACTGCAACGTCGTAAGGGGCCATCCATGTAGTAGGTACGCATGGAGGGGGGTTAACGCAAATGCGTACGCTTGCGTATGGGGGGGGGGGTCTACTGACAATGTACGTAGCATAGGAAACGGGGAGGGAGGTGAAGAAGCCTCGATAATAATTTGTCTACATCGGCCTTCAAATGAGCCACAGTTGAGTTTGTTCAGCTGTCAGACAACAAGTACTACCGGGAGAAGTGGTGTGGCACATTAGGAATGGATCACTCTTTTAATTCTTTCCTCGTGCAGCAAGGGAGTAAAGTGTGCTTCTGGGAGAGTCCTGATGTGCTGTGCAGTGCATCAATGCACGTGTGTACAGCAGCAGCAGCATGTGGTGACTGAGTTGGGCCTGTAGGTGGCTGGCAGGGTTATTGATTAACCAGACTTGTACACCAGTCACGTGGTTAATGGCGACTCGGTTGAGGATTGCTGTGTGTGACACCACGTGCTGTTGCATTAAACAGGTAAGGGACCCAAGGGTTGTTTTTGATCGTTATAGAAATGTTCTCGACTTGTTCTCGACTGGTTCTAGACTTCAGGCTTGGCTTTGAATTGTTAGTTTGTGATATATTCAATTGTAGGGGTTTTGGCACTGTGCATTGTAAAGGATGACGTACTGTAGTTAATACTTGTAATTCTTAATTCTCTAACCCTAATACTGTTTATTCTATAACCATGCCCATGCACCCAGAGTATGATTACTTGCAATGCTATTGAGAATAGAACACATGTAGTTATTCAATGGTGACAAATACAGTACGTATATTGTACACATACTGTTCAGGTCATTAATTTCGAGTGTGCAACAGTGGGACTGTGGGAGAGGTGTCACTTCGTGTGCCACCGTGCCCCTGACTGCTCGCTATCATGTTCGTTATTACGCTGCAGTTGTAATGCTAATTGTGAGTTTAGTTAAGCGTTAGCTGGTTAGCACGGGTTAATTAATTTTGCATTGTGGGTTTGAGCACCATGAGTAATTAGTGATAAAGGTGGATTAAAATATGGTGTTGCGTTATGATAAATGACCAATTGATATAATCTCAGCCAATAAAGTTCTTTACTGTCATGGAAACTTAGTTGAGTGTGAAATTTATTTTATATTCATTACATGATTAGAGTATCTCCAAGGAGGTTACAGAGTTCCCACTTGAGGTTGGTGACCCCAGCTCAGAGTAGGTTCGCACGGTTATTCTCTCGTCAGATATGATTCAGAGAGCATCTGAGCAGAGTCGAAATCTATCAACCCCATTTAATTCCCTGAAACTTAATATTTTTGTATACTAATGGGTGTGTAATGGAATGTAAGCAAAATATAAACTGTTATTGGTCAATTAATTTGGGATCCCAAAACGTGGACCACTCAGTACATCGCAAATAAGCAACGATCTTTATGATGCCAAATTTCATTGAAAATAAAAAAAAATCACTTAACTAAATTCACAATAGCGTTGTAAATTTCTTCAATCAACCATTATGACCAAAATCCTCGTTGTACTAACCCTCACGGCGCTAATGTAAGTCATCTCATTATCAACCAGAAAGCACATCTGGCAGCTCGCATGACCCACGTCTGAATAATCCTCCAGGCGGGAGTCGCCAGCCGTCCGTGATGTGACGCGGGGGCTACGCAGGGTCTCGGCGCGTGAGGGCGGACCGCTGGCTCCATGACCACGCCGACCAGAACTCCCGTCCCACCGGCCGGGCCGAGGACCGGCGACGGCGCCGTCCCCGGCCTCGTCCGCGGCACCGGCCCCGACACGACGGCTGCCGCGTCCGACGCCGGCGGTGGCGAGGCCGGCCGGCGTGCGCGCCGCTCCGCCGCCAAGCGCGTGTACTTCTACAAGAGCGGCGACCCGCAGTTTGGCGCCCTGCCGTTGGTGGTGAGCGAGCGCAGCTTCCGTACGTTTGAGTCGCTCCTGGACGAGCTGTCGCGCCGCGTGCCGCTGCCCATGGGCGTGCGGCGAGTCACCACGCCGCGGGGACGCCACGTCGTGAACCAGCTCAACGAGCTCCACGACGGCAGCGCCTACATGTGCAGCGACCACCACCGCCGCCAGCCGCCCGCGCCTCCGCCGCACCCGGCGCTGCACCCGCCAAACCGGCGCCCGGCCGCGGGAGTGGGCAACGTCAACGATAACGATGATGACGACTGGCACTACCACCATGACCGCCACGATTACCACCAGGAACACCACGACCACAACCAGCATGACCACCACCAGCAGCACCAACGACACCATCACGGCCGTGATGATCTGCAGGAGACACAGCGTGGTGGTGGCGGCGGTGGAGGATGGAGACCGGTTGTTCAGCCTCCCAGAGAGCCGCGGAGGAGCGGCAGTCACATCAAGCGGCTGACACTGTTCAGGAACGGCACGGTGGGGTCACAGAGGGCTCTGCTGCTCAGCCGGCAGTCGGCACCCAACCTGGAGGCGGTGCTCGCCTACTTCTCTGAGATTCTGCAGTGCCCTGTGCGCCAGCTCTACACCAGGAATGGCAGCAAGGTGAGGAGGTGCAGTCGGCATGTCATAACACTATTTCCTACATATCTGGTTTACATGCATTGTGGTAAGCACGAAATAATCGGTGGTGGCAGGGGGCTAAGCTCCGTCAAACGTTTGCCGGCTTCAGTTTTTCAAACAGTCTGCACAGTAATACCCCTCGAAGCAGGACTCGTGAGTCATTAACACCTTCCCCGCACCTCCGATTAGCACGGTTGGCTACATATGGTGCGAAAGAAATTAAACATACATACATATATGAGCACATTGTTGCCGCGAGCAGAGCTAGGTGGTAGACTGACGCGTCCAGGGGCAAGGGTTCCCCCGATTGCGTCAGTTTACCACGTGTTCTGCTAGTAGTGACCTCGCACTCTCGTTTTTTGACGTGAATTATCTTGATTTTTTTTTCACGAAAAAAAGTTTAATTTATTTTAACATGTTTCCGCCCACCAAAGAGTAGTTTTAATTTGAGCATGTTGTGTGTTTTGGGCTCACTTTGACCCCATGCAGCCATGCAAGATGGTACGCGAACCAGTTTATTGCATAAGCATGGATGCTCGTATGGCTACTTTGAAATCGGGACGATTCAGCGAATCGTGAACGAGAAAAGCATTACAGGCCTAGGCCATAGGTGTCTTGAGCTCTCTCTACCTTTTCAGCCTAAATGAAAATAACAATATAACCAATATTTTTCCACAACCAATGTGATTCTTAATTATATATCTGGGTTCCGTCACGTAATGATCTAAATGTCTGTCGTAATGCCCTCCACCAACCCAACATAGCCAAACAAATGAAATCGTTATGTGTACAAGAGTTTAATGTGCCAATAATCAACAACAATAATATTAAAGCCCCATTATTTATCCAGCAGAACGTCACTGACTCTAAAGACTCATTGTTTTTAAGGAAGGTTCCTGCTATATTAGGATATTTGGCCAATTAATTTAATCAATGAGAGTGTTTTGTGTGCAGGAAGGAAACCAGAGTTATTGGAGCAAACCCACGCATATGAGGCTATAACAGTCAAAGGTCCTAATAGGCAGGTTCACAAATCCGCTTGCTGTACAGCCATCTCCTGACCATTCACAGCAGTACAATTGCTTAAAGATACAACCATAGCTAGCACGTCCCGAGCTGTCCCACATGAGTTTGAAGCTTCGGTCATGAGGATACATACTTTAAAGTTACAGCCAAGTGTATCATTATGACACTCTGTTAATGTCGTGATTTCACTCTCACACATTTTAGTGTTCACGACAAATCGACCGGACAGTTGAGCAAAACATAGGTACTCGGTGAGGGTGGACATGTGACTGTTAGATATGCGACATTTTACAGTAGATGGAACATGAGAGTCATTTTGGGTTTTTTTTAGTCGGTATCTTCCTTTTAACGAAGGGCATTTGTTTTAACATTTGGTACTTGGATGGATTTCTCACGAACCTGTAGGAAGCATCAGCCGTGACGGGTGAGCAATGCTTTCTGGGAAAAAAAGTATTTGGAAATGGTTGGGGTGAATGACTGGGAGGCTGGGGTGTCTGTATACTGTACAGGATTCATAAAAATGATGACTTGAATCATCTGTTAAAGCTGGAGGGGGTGTAATAATATATTGGCAGATAAGGTATTTGGACAATACTAGACAGACATATTATTCTCTCATGGGATCTATAGACAATTTACTTTGAACAATATCGTAAAACCACTGTAGTCTGCACTCCTTCAACGGAGGAGGAACAGCACAATCACACAAACTCTCCTGAAGCCCTCTCGTCGTGGCCAGCAGAACCTCGACATTGAGCTACTGAAACCATATAGCTGCCATGCACAATAGAATAGGGAAAACATGGGCTGACCCAGCACCTCTGACGTCCCCGTGGGAAATAGGTGGAGAGTCTAGAGGGCCTCTTCAATGGTCCAAGTTCCCTGGTGGCCGCTGGCTCGGAGCCCTTCAGAGCCGTGGCCTACGACGGCATGACGAGTCGCCACAAGCTGCCGGGGCTGGCAAAGGTGGCTCGTGGGCCGGAGCCGTCGGCCAAACCCGGTGAGTCAACCTCTCACCTTTGTCGTTGTCATCGGCAAGGTCAATCCAGAGGTCATCGGTTTAATGTGTTCCTCCGGCATGGCAGTTGAAACAATGGGACAAGTTTCTTAAATCCCCCCTTCGCAGGTCATGTGTAAGCGAATATTGCATGGTTCCATCATCATCATCGGTCATCATCAATTCATATGGATCAAGGGCTCCACAAGCTGCCTCCATCTGTCAAGATTCCACACACGAGCTGAGTTCATCGCCGCTCTGGTTCCTTGGTGGATATTCTATTGGACACGTTCCATTCCTTGGCTGCCACTCCAGGGAAAGTTTCAACCGTGTGAAGTGCAATATAAATAGGAAATGATGATGACTATATTTGTCTCTATCTCTCTGTGTCTCTCTTGTCCATCTGCATCTGTCTCTGTGACTGTGTCTGCTGCCTTTCGTTCCGAAAAAGCAAACTTTGGTCTTGAAGCGAGCAAGAAAGTAATTCACCCACGGCCACCATCCAGCCGCCACTCCAGGTATAGCTTCTCTATCGCCTCGGACCGCGTGTACGGCAATGGAGACTCCTCAACGGCAAGCCTGGTCTCTTCGGTCAGTCGGCTGGCTGCTAAGGACCACCACCAAGATGACCACCACCACCTGCCACATGGCCATACGGCCGCCAAAGTGCGGCAAATGGACAAACCGTCGGACGTGCGCAAGCAGATTCGGGTGAACCCCGATGGCAGCATGACAGTGGAGATGAATGTGCGCCTCAATCTGGAGGAGGAGGAGGAGACCGTGCGCTGGGTCACCAACATCAGCCGTGAGAAGAGCGGGTCTGAGCGCCGCGTGGGACAGGCGGTCACCAACGAGGGCTACGGCATGGACGGCAGCATCGGGCCAATGGGAGACAACGGCTCGGTCACCAACGCCTGCTGTGACGACGACGATGAAGTTGATGATGACGACGGCAGTGACGATGAGGTACAACGCAGGCGACGGTGCTTCGTAGGGAAGTACCCACCAATGGAGGAGCTGTTCGGGGTGAACGCGAAGCGGCACGTGGTGGACGCACTGCAGAGGGCGGCTCTCCAGCAAGGCGGTGATGGGTATGGTCGCGCCGATGACGCTGAGTTTGACAATGATGGGACGAGCTCTTGCTCCACGTCGAAGAACGAGCGCTTTTCCTTCTTCACGGTGGCTGAGGGAGAGGCAAAGGAGCGGCAGTTTGATTCATTGCCGATGATGACCATGGCGCCAGCAGCGACAAACGTGTCGGCGGCACCGACTGCAGTGATGGAAATGTGCAACGGCGTGCTGGAGTACTGTACCATGAGCCGGTGCAGTACGCACAGCAGCAGCTGGTCGTCGGTCAGCTCTAGGCGACAACCGCGCAAAGAAGGAGCTGACAGAGGAAGTGGAGTAGGAGGTGAAGAAGAAGAGGAAAGAGAAGCAATGGAGCTGCGCAGGGAGGTGGTCGGTTCCGATGGAATTTGTTGTGTTGATGACGATGGTGGTGGTGGCGGCGGTGATGCTGGTGGCGGCAATGGTGGTGATGGTGATAGTTGTGATGGTGAAGAAAACAGTGATGTCGGTAGGGGAAATGAAGGCGGTGGGGGGTCATTCCAAGGGTCCGAACGCCCTCCCAGTGGTGGCTCTGATGCCACGACCCTCGCCTCAGCTGGTGTGACCGGTGAGATGGACCCAGCATCAGTGATGTCAGCTGAGCCAGAGCTGAACAGTGCAAGTGCAGCTGCAGATGGCGAGAGGGACTCGGGTGGCCATGTGTCCATCGATGGTGAGTTGACCCTCGTGCATAACCCCAGGGATATTCCATCATCCCTCATTTCCTCTCAATCAAGGGACTCGCACCTTGTGGACAAAGCGGCATGTGGATTGCTCTCCCGTAGTGAACAGCCCACAGTCGTGAGTCCTGCGCTGTCAATTACCTCCAAATCTAAAGCACGGTCAAGAGGAGGAGGTGGTGGAGGAGGAGAAAACATGATGCCCAGACCCAGTCCCAGTCTGAACTCAGGTCACCGCAGGCACCGCAGTCATCGTTCGGCTGCGTCCACTGACCAGAAAGGGCGAGGAGAGCTCTTGGCAAATAATTGCCACCCTTCGCACAGAACTAACAGCATCCGGGGGGTAAGTAATGACGGCGCATGCTCTACGGTGCAATGCGAGGAGGGGGAGGTGGGGAAGGAAAATGACGACGACGATGGAGAATGTTCACATACTTCCCCCTGCAAGCTCAGCGATGCCGGAATTACCACACCAGCCACGAGGTCCGACAGAGGCCAAGCTCGAATGGCAACTCCAAGGATCGAGTGCCACAGCGGCAGCACGGGGGGGGCAAAGGCATCCTCACTGTTGTTTGGGAGCATCTCCGCAAGACACTCTCAGACAAACCAAGAGGACGATGGGGAGAAGAGCTGCACCGGGCGGCGAAAAGCACCCTCTTCCCACAGCTCCGCGTGGTCAAAGAGCTACGAGGAAGGGTCGGCCGCCAAGTTGAGCGTCTCCATCTCTAAGTCTCCTAGCCCAGCGTCGCTCAAGGTCGTGTCAAGGCACAGCAAAAGCGGCGTCAGTGGTACCATCAGCAGGGCTGCTTCTTCTGTGTCCTCCGCTGATGGTCCCTCGCTGGTCCCCGTTCCCCCTCATGGGAGGGGGAGCCGCAGCTCGCAAGCTCAGACCGCGGGGAGCAGCAGACGTGACCGGTTACGCGTCACCTCCCGCAATGGTTCCTCGATGGCAACGGCGCCGGCGCATTCACTCAAGGTGTCAGGGAGGGAAGACAGGAGCAGAGCATCATCAGATGGATCCAAGTCAAGGCTGGCTTCCTTGGGCTCCAATTCGAGATCGGAGCTGGATGGAAATGCAGGCGCCGCTGGCACGAGGCGATTCCGTGATTCAGGTGGTTCGGTGAACGAGATTGAACGCACTGACTCCCAGCTTAGCGAGGCGCTCCTGTCGCAACTCACAGACCTCCCCGAGGAGTCTCCAGAAGACGTTGTCCGCAAATGGCTAACGAGGATTCCGTCAAGAGCCAGCACGATTCAGGATGATTTCTTCACAGACTTGGATTTGATTCCGGAGGAAGAGCATGGCGGCGGTGCTGTTGCTGATGCCGATGCTGGAGCAGATCATGAAGGTGACCTGGGACACAACGCCACACCTTTCGAGAGGAATGGAGAAACGGGCATGCTATTGCAACCGCCAAGTGATGATCAAGATGAGAGATCTGCTTCCGAGACACAGGCAGAGGAGAACAGAGATTGGAGTGTGCTCCACGATTCCGGAAATTGCAGGCATTTGCCAGAGAAGGACAATTGCATTAAGCATGTTAGTGAGCAACAATTCCACCTCAACAAAAAGCTCTTCCGGCTTCTCAAGCAGCTGTTCAGGAAGCAGCTGTCACGTCCCGAGCTGAAGAAGTCGAACAGCATGCCCGAGTTAACGGATGAGTATTGGGCGTCGCACAACCAAAGCATGGTTATCAACATTGTGGTGTCACTGCTGTCTTCCCTGGAGACGACTTCCAATGAGGACGAAGCCAGCACGCCGTTTGTTCCCCTCACCGACGTCGCCCAGCGCCTTCGGAAATTGGGTCCCGGCAGCAGCGACAGGCACAGATTTCTAACCTCTGAGCAACTCCTGCACCTTCGGAAGCTACTCACTTCTCAGATGCATGGGAGGCGCAAGCAGATGGAGTATTCGAGCCTGGGAGAGGGGCAGGTGGGGCCTGAAGAAAAGAAAGGATCCACTGTGGTTGAGGAGAGTGGCGATTGCGGGAGGCCAGCAGTGTGCGACGATAACGGCTACGGCTCCAACAACAAGGACAAGAATGGAGATGGCGAGTCCAAGGAAGCCCTCGATGATGATGGTGATGGCCATCAAAAAGGTGCGGTGGATGAGGAGGAAGAGGCTAACGAGGACGAAGGTTCCCATGTCTTTGACGGTGAAGCAAATGCAGACATGAATGGTTATGATTCGAATGGGGAAGTTTACGATGTTGAGGGAGTCGTTGATGAAGAACAGAGTGAAGGTGATGAGGCGAAGCATGAAGATGATGATGAAGAAGGCGACGTGGCTGAAGATAAACCGAGGCTGGAAAATGTAGGTGATGACGTGGCGATGGAAATTAACGACGATGTCTCGCAAGGAGGTGATGAAAAAGCTGGAAAAATGTGTGAAGCAGATGAGGACATCATTGCAGATGAGGCTCCTGAAGAGGAGGCTGGGATTGAGGAAACTGAAGAGGGTGGAGATGATGGTGAAGCCACAGGTGAGAGGGAAGTTGAGGCGGTAGAGGTGGTATCAGCAACAGCAGCAGAAGAAAAAGAGGAAATGGCGGTGGCAGATTTTAGCAGTGGTGTTGCCAGTGAGGGTACAGCTGTTGATGAAGGTACAGAGGATGGGAGCGATTGTGAGGATGATGCGGCGGAAAACGGTGACGAGGGCGAAGACGTGAGCATAAAAGACCCTCATTCGGAGCACACGATTGGGGAGGTAGCTGAGGGTGAAGCAGATGAGGCGGGGGTGGAAAATGACGTTGAAAACGAGGCAGAGGTGGAAATGAACGACAACATCTCACAAGCCAACGGTAAAACAGAGGACGGAGAGTCGGAGGCATGTGACTTTGAACAAAAGGCAAACGATGACGAGGCAACTGAGAAGGAGATGTCGCCTGATGAGATGGGGGAAGACGTTGACGATGTTGAAGCAAACAGTGGAAAAGACGGTGAGGAAGAGGAGTGTACAGCAGAGGATGAATTGGTACCTGTCGATGGAGGTGAAGATGAAGATAAACATGAAGAAGTAGATGAAGAGAGAGATGCAGGTACTGGAGGAGAAGATGATATCGCAGATGAAGTGATAGTAGATGAGAATGTCGAAGATGAGGTAGGAGGTGAACACAATGACTTGGAGCAGGATGCTGATCCTAACAACACATCATGTGTAGACGAAGAACAAGATGAACAAGTACATCGAGAAGATGAACTGGAGGAAGAAGAAACTAAGGAACAACCAGAAGCACAAGAACATCAAGAAGAAGTGGAACAAGAAGATGGTCAACAAGTGCAGGAACAGGAGGAAGAGATACAACAAGTTGAGATACAAGAAGAATCTCAACCAGAAGACCAAGAAGAAGAAACACATCAACAACAAATAGAAGAGGAAGGACAACAAGAAGAACATGGTGAGGAAGCAGAACAGGAAGAGGAATCAAAAGTAGTTGAATTAGAACATTTCGAAGAAGCAGAAGAAGAAGATCAACAAGAAGATATTCATGAAGGAGCCGAACAAGAGCTGCAAGAAGAACAAGAACTGGAAAAAGCAAAACAAGAATGGGATGATCAAGGAGAAGAACATGAAGTTGCGGAAGAAGAGAAACAGCAACAAGATGAAATTCATGAAGAAGCAGATGGAGAAGAAAATCAGAAAGAAGAGGACACAGGAATTCCTGATGCTGAAGACATGGACGAGCGTGGTGAGACGCGTTCTAAATCGGAATCATGTCCGGTTGATAATGAGGATGGTGCAAAGGAAGATTCTGGTGGAGATGCCAGTAAGTCAAGTTGCTCAGAAGATGCATTGAACAACGACAATGCAGAGGACGCAGTCGAGGAGAAGGCTGCTCCAGAAACTAGCCTCGATAATGACGAACAGCTGACCACTGAGAATGAGGAGCAAGTGGCAATGAATGACGTGAGCAGCATCCATGACGAGTTGATTGAGAGTGATGCTGAAAACGCCTCTCGTCCAGAGTCTGCAAGGTCTGGCACGCCCACACTCATTGAAGAGGATGTAAACCAGGAGGATGGGAAGGAGGAGGTCAATAATATCGTCCAAGAGACATCAACATCGGCGAGTGACTCGGAGAAGGCTCACAGCGATCACGGCGAAGAGAGCGCAGACGGTGACTCTTCAACCGAGGCAGAGGGGGACCTTGAAGATGCGTGCACTTCAGTAATGGCGGTCGACGAGCTGCAATGCGAGTCATCGACACCACAGACTCGTGATGCTGGGAGGTGTAGAGATGTGGGGACTCAGGTGAGCCTAGATGAGGTTGAGGTTTCTGGGAGGTGGAGGCACCTGGCCTCTTCACGTGCATTGGGTGGAGGACGAAGAGGTAGCGCCATCCCAACGCCTCCTACTCCTGACATTGCATCCCGCGTCTGCTGGAGCAGAAATGAGAGCACCGATATGCCGGATGAACATGAAGTCGTGGAAAACCCGGAGCGAACACTGAACACTCGGCAGCCGACGGACGTCCTGTCAGCCGCAGAAGACAGTGACCCGCAATGGATCGTCAGCGAGAATTACCTGCGGCGACGTGCCTTGCCTCAACAGTGCGTCGCAGAGCTGGACACGACCTCGGGAGAAACCGCGGATGAAGCCAAATACCTGAGGCTCAATCGACCGCTCCAGATGGATGACATCTCCTCCAGTGAATTAGAGGACACACTCAGCCCTGAGCCGTACTGTAACTTCTACCGGGAGCCGCACGGCACCGACTCGGATCCCTTCCTGAGTGACGCGTGCAGTTTTGACAGCCTGAAGGCGGCAAGACTCCCCGTAGGGGAGAAAACGGCTTCAGCTTCAACTGAACATATAGGCAGCGTTCGCTCGGAGGCTCCAGCTACAGAGAAGTTTGTGGAAGCGAAGGACAGACGTGCCTCCTTGATGAGTGAGACAGCAGAGGCGGGCGGTGATGAAGGCAGGAGCCTGGCGGCTTGCGGCAACTACTGCACCATCCTCACAGCTCTGCAGACGGACGAAGGGAGGCTCTTTTCGCCCTACAGCAAGGTGTTTGATCCGAATGACCCCTGGGTGGTGCATTTGGTCCGCTCCCTGGAGCGGCAGTGTATGACCCAGTGGCTCAACGTGCTGGAGGACACAAAGACTCGATGGGGCATGGAGGGCGAGGAGATCAACGAGATCATCCTGGAGGTGAAGCGAGATGCGCAGAGGCGTATCAGGCTCGGCATCTTGGCGGAGCTCGAGAAAATCAAGATCAGCATCGAGGGGAGGGTGCCACAAAAAGTCGGCGGTTCGATGGTGAAGAGCGTCGCATCGAGGATGTTGAGGAAGAGCTCGCCTGGGATTCTGGAGGCACAGTCGCGGAATCTAGCCCACGTGATTGCGGAGCTGAATAAAAAACAAGGTCACGACAACAATGACAACATCAATGGCAATGGAGAGAGTGTGAGTATCGAAGGTGCCCCGTCTACTCTGAGGGTGACTGAAGAAAATGTGTACGCGACATTCCAGATCCCCCAGATTCTAAAGGAGTTTGACCTAAAGTTGATTCTTAACGCTGATGCCGCAGCGCCAGGGGGAGATGGGGACCTGGATGACGTGTCTCTGGATGACAACAATGGAAACCCAGGCAATCGAACTGCCGATCAGGAGGATGAAGATCACGAACTCTTGTCTCAAGGGAATGTGTCTACAGCACTCAACGGTGAAAGTGAAGGGACCACATGCTGCGAGTCTCTCGTCGGCACTGATGCGGAATTTGCCGACAACGAAGCCACAGAGGGACAGAGTGAGTCGGCTTGTCAAGACTCTGCGGATGGCAGCGTCGAAACTGAAGAAGCGGAAAACTGCGTCAATGAGGTTGCAGGAGACGAAGAGGTTGAAGCTGCAGCTCACATCAATGGAGAGGAAATTTTGGAAGCACGGGAATGTGAAGGTAGCCTTCCGGAAAGTGCCACAGAAAATGATAATGATCGCGACAATGACGGTGATGACAGTGATGGAGCTAGGGAAGAAACGGCCATTAAAGAAGCGGAGGCCGGTGGTGAAAATGCTGAAGCGGATTTGGCTCTGGAGGATGAACTTCCCGAAGACTCTGAACACTATCCACAAATGGAAGCATGCGAAGATTGTGAGGGAGAGGTGCAACCAGAGAGTAGTGACGTTAATGATGGCGATGGGAAAGAGGAAGGTGGTTCTGGAGAAAGTGACAAAGAAGATGCTGGGGAAGGTGAAAATGCTGAAGCAGATTTGACTCTGGAGGATGGACTTCCCGAAGACTCTGAACATGATCCACAATTGGAAGCAAGCGAGGATTGTGAGGAAGAGGTGCAGCCAGAGAGTAGTGAAGTTGATGATGGCGATGAGAAAGAGGAAGGTGGTTCTGGAGAAAGTGATGAAGAAGATGCTGGGGAAGTTGCAGTGCTGAACAAAGATGAAATGGAAATGGCGAATGGCGGTGTTGAAGATGGAGAGGCTGGTGATAGTGATGCAGGGAGTGGTGTTGGGCAGGAAAATGCAGATGAAGACGACGTCAAGGAGGGAGATGAAGTAGAACCACAAAGTGAACACGGAGCTGCAAGTGACCAGGCAGACGGCAGTGAAGACGCAGACTCGAGTCAGGGTGATCACGCGAAGGAAAGTGAAGCAGGGGAGGACGATGTGAGTCAGGAAATGGCGCATGAAAAAGATGCCACAGCTGACGACGACAACGAGGTGAAAAATGGTTCAGGAGAACAAGATGAAGAGGGCGAGGAGGATGACGTTGACGGGAGTGGCGATGACAGTGGCGAGGGAGGTGGATCGAATCAGGATGTACTGGATTCACAAAGCGGTGCTGAGGAAGAAGGCGGCGGAGGTGATGATGAAGTTGAGGGAAATGTCAGCAGGGATGAGGGTGATGCAGAGCATGCGCAGAAAGAGGCAGATAATGGAATTGCTGAAGATCAGGGTGAAGAAGAACGCATAGACACAGATGCCAACGAAGGTGGTGATGACTGTGATGTTACTGGAGACGAAGGTGGCGAAGAGGAGGTGGGAAGCAATGCCAAAGAAGAAGAAGATGAGGAGGCATCGATGTCGGACGACGTCTCGCAAAACGGCAGCGCGCCTGAAGAGGAAGATTTGCAAAATTGCGACCAAGATGACGACATGAGTGGTAGCTGTGAAGCCCCCAAGGAGAACAGGGTAGACGAAAAAGAGGGGGGAGAAGATGAGGGCGAAGCTGCAATCGTAGATGAGGAAGAGCCTGTAGCTGAAGACTGTGATGGTAGCATTGGCAACGATGGGGACAATGATGTCGCTGAAAACAAGGGGGATGGTGATGATGATGAACACGATGAGGGTGATGACGCGGAACCAGAGAGAGTTGAAGGGGATAATGTGGAAGAAAATGAAGATGTAGGTGAAAATGTGGAGGAGAGTGATGCTGGTGCGAATCAGGCGGGTAATGAAGAAGACGGAGATGCTGAAAATGAAGATGATTTGCAACAGGATGAAGAGAACGTTGAGAGCATGGAGGATGTGGAGGCGGGGATGGCGAATGAAGAACCGCGGGAGGAGGACGGTGAGACTGGTGTTAGCATAATGTCTGATGAGGCTTGCGAGCAAAGTGAGGAAGTGCAGGAAGAAAACGAGGTGGTTGAGCACAATGGGGTGAGTGAATCCAACGGAGAATCGAGTCCCGTGGCGGAGGACGAAAATGCATTGCAAAAGATAACAGACAATGATGGGAAGGAAGATAGCAGCAGAAATAGGGAGGAAGAAACTTCTTTAGAGGGGGAAAGCAAAGAGGGTGAAGACCAAAAAGTGGAGGCAGAGGAGGAGGCTAGCGAGGAAGACACTGACGTCAGATCTTGTGACAGCAGCACGGCGGTGAAGGGTTCCAGCAGCTCGTCGCAGGGAGCGGAAGAGGCCGGAGCCGTGCATGCTCATGAGTCGGAGGGGACAGTAGCTGCCTGCGGAGGAGCCACGTGCCTGAGTGGGCGTGCGCTACGCTCGAGGTTCCCTATGAAGAGCATCGCCGGAGAGGAACAGTGCGCGGACGACATCGATGGCGATGATCTAGATTTCTGAGCTGCCCATTGCGTAGATGTCGGCGATGTTTCAGGTGACGTTAACGGGATAAGGTGTGCCAAGCAATGGTGGCAGTCGCATTTCTTCTTCTGCTTTTGAATGAATGTTCGAACGAATGAACGTCAATGTTAACTTGAGTTATGAGTAGAAGCCGATAGCATTGACACTAATCAGCACCACAATGTAAGCCATGTGTCTTACAGAAACCCTTAAACAGCAATTTAGCATGGATCCTAACCGTGCTAAATTGATTAATAGTAACATTACTCCAAACATTAGTTTTAGCCATGGTTATAACCCTTAATCTAATTATGAGTCTCACTACAATCTAAACATCCCCAACATTTACCCGAACCGCAGTCGTAGCTTTGACCCTATCTATAATGCTAACTATCACCTTATTTCCCAACCCATAATCCCACCCCAAACTGATCCCCACTCGATCCTAGCCCCGCACCAACCCTAACATCAGCCCCAACACGAACGCCTCCCCGATCCTAAGGCAACATCCAACTCCTTCTCACCCTGGCCCTAACCTGAACACAACGCTATGTCTCCTTACACCAATCCTAACACAATCTATAATCCCATCACTAACCCTGACCACAACTGAAGCTATACCATGACTTAAAACGTTGTTTATATGAATGTGTATTTTAAATATATGTACGTGAAACCCTAATGAAAAACAATTGTGACCCAAAACTTTTAAATCATACTCTTTGGTTCTTTCGGTAAAGTCACGGAGGTATAAAATAAAATAAATCACGACGTTTCGGGCGCAACACCCAAGCGTCCATCATCAGGTGGGAAAGCATGGTCTGCTGCTGAGGCAGACTGTTTTAAAATCGGTCAGGCGTGCCATTGAGATGTTCCAATCGAATCGCAATGCATGGGAGCAGAACTCGGCTGTCCAATAATGTAAGTAACCAATTACTCTATCGATTATAATCGATAAAGTAATTGGTTACTTGCCAGTTACTCTATTATTGGTTACAATACTTGACCAATCGGATAATATAAAAAGCAGTTGGGAAAGTCTTACTTATGTTCCCACGTGTGCCCCTGGATGGGAGGTGATGGGCGGGGCTTGGTGGCGTCATGACGTCATTAACCGTGTCACCCTGGGCGTGGCTTGTAGGAGGTTTCCTACCTTCAGGTTGGCCACCATTTCTTAAGAGGCTCCAGTAATCAACCACAAAAGAGTAAGTAGATTACAACTCTCACAGATTACTCAACTGAATCGACAAATTGGCCCAGCCCATGTGGGACAGCCTGGGACCCAAGATCTGGGTGTGCAGGTCCGAGAGAGACAGTTATTGGATTGTGTCTCACTCCAAGCGCTCTTTGCATGTTTCATTACTGCACAGGACGTCACATATCCGCCCCGACCAATTAACGTCCTCATCCTCACCCATGACAGTATATGTCCTGGTGTAACTCTTTTTATTTTTAGTGGATATTCACAAATTCGACCTTTTCACATATCCGCCTATACCTTAGTCCCCAGCGCAGTTGTACTCAGCTAGCTAAAGCAAAGGTTCTGTAAACCGCGTATTATGTGAACCGCGTATTATGTGAACCTGTGTGCGTCAAGAAACGCAACGAGCAAGAAAGATTTTTGAATGTAAAACTCTGAAGTCCGGAGGGTATCCCTGCTGAAATGAGAAATGGGAGCGATGGCTCATCTCTGTTGGCGGTTTCGAAACCAGTGACAAAGTGGGTGTATTTGTGACCCAGAAGGGATGGTGGGCTGTACTGACCTCTCCCCTCCACCCCCTCTCAAACCCACGACTTTCATGATTGGAGGTGAATCGTTCGGATAACTGAATGCCGCGCTGCTGATGTGAAATGTCTGAATGCTCGCATGCGAGCAATGTGTGTGGAATATGGTGCACTGTATTCGATTTGATTACTTGAATGTAAATTGCTTCACCTTATCCATTCGCGCGCAACGACACGTGTACCGTTGGTATATTTTGCCACCATTTTTCGCAAACATTGCCTCAGAACTGAAAACAAATCCAACTCAGGATAATGTTTGAGGCAATGAGCCTTCCACAGAGCAGACTCTACCCTCACCGCTTCTCCCCCTTTCGCCTCGCTCCACTCCGGTTTACGCTCTCTCCGCTCCAGCAACCAAGGCTTTCTGTCAAAGCGCCCAGCTATCATTTACTGCGTGAGAAGTGACGACGCCTCTGTACTCCCACCTGTTGTCTGTAATTCCCTCCTACAGCCATCCATGCTGTCACCTCCAGGCTCAAGACCATCCTCTTGTCGCCTGTGCATGTGAAATATAAGACGATTAAACATCAGTCAGGAGTAATGTATCCTGCTCATGGTTGATAACCCACTGCCGCCCCAGTCAACCCAGCACTACGAATCGGTGCACCGCAGTTGATCGGCAAGTTGCGTGCGGTGGGGTAAAGTGGTGGGTGTACCTACCGCTTCCAGGATGTCTTGCCAGTGTGGAAGAGTAGGCCAAGACACACCTGAGAGGGGAGGCCCTTCTAGACAGCAGCGACACGAGCGAGCCATTGCAGGGCCGCGCCTTTACCTCTCCATAACCTCTTGGTCTCCCTGCTCTGAGGAAGGGCCGTCACCTGGAACGTTTACAGTGAGGCAGTATTTGTTGTTGTTAATGAAGACGGCGGTGAAATATCTTCACCGGCACTTCTTCACAGCGCGGCCGTCGCAGCCCTGGGAAACCACGTACACACGTACATACATCGACACATTCACTCAATCACGTACGTACGTGTACATATATATGTACAGACGTGATTGTGGGTGACTTTTTGTGAAATAGATAAACAGACACGGTTCTCTTTCGTTGCCAAATAAAAAATTAAAACTACATTTCAGATCCCACCGACCAAGAAAAATCTCGGCCCGGCAGAATTTGAGCAGGAATACGCTAGTGGCCCGGGGCAAGCCAACAGCATTTGATTAATGTGCTACTACACACTGCTGATGAGACTCGCAGAAGACGAAGCCAATTCACAGTTCGCCTGCGTAGATAGGCTGATGCTGGAAAATATTGATCAATGAAGCCCAAAGGCTGAGGGGGTGCTTCTTATGATGAGGGGGTGCATTGTAGTATCCACTTGTGTGCATGTTAGCGTGCCATACTACGAACCCGGCGACCCGAGGTTCGATTCCTACTCACGGCTACGGCCAGTGACGATTATCTGAATCGTTCCTGCGCCTCCACCTTGGTCGACTCGGGGCCTCAAATGAGTACTTTGGTATGGTGTGTAAACATCGCCACTGGGGAGACAAAGGTGGCCGGGCGTGGTGTTGGCCGCCTACCCCGTCGTGTGCCGTGCTAGCAGTCTTCGTAGGTGCTCGCTAACAGCACACGTCTGTCAAGGCTATACGGGGGAGCTTTGTTTGCATCTTACTTTCCAGAATTTATCTCATAACTGGGGAATATGGTTTTGTTTAATTTTATATTTGGTTAACCAAACAGACCCCTATCAGTTTATTTGATATATACATATATACACATATATGTATATATACATATATACTCATACACATATATGCACTAATGCACTTTATATACAGAGTAGAGTAAGAGCTACCGACTTTTTCAATAAATTAATGCTCGGATGCAGTCGATAGTGAATTGTCGAGTCTTTGCTCACAATGTCGTGTACAATCTGATGCCGTTATCATAATAGCAAAGCACATGTATCGTCTATTTGTAGGTGTGTTATTAAATGTGCTACTCTGTTAGATTATGTGAAATCAATCAAAATCATCTTCATCAAACTAATCCGCCGAAAGTTCGCTCTCGTGGTGTGGAACGAGGATGCTGTAGCCGATGAGACGGTGGTTCTGCAATGGATTTAGCGAGGGTTATGTGCTGGATCATGGATGTGACGAGATTTCTGGATCCAATGAGACGATTCTGTGCTGGATGATAATGGTGTTCTGTATCAGCAATGCAAGGTTTTTTTCTTTCGCAGAAAACAAGTTCACAATAAAATAAAATAAGAAACGCACAATTCAAAGCAGTCAAATTTAAACCGGTCTATCTGAAATATATTTTCTCGTGAATCTAACCTGGCGCTTGTAATCAACAATTCACTGCATAGAAAATAGATTTTTACTCATCAGACAGTTATTTTACTTATCAGTAGACAAAGCACATGTATGCAAATACATTTTCCGAATTAAAGCGACAATAACGGTGTAACCATGTTACGCACACCAACGATGCAATAAAATTGTAACCTTTACCAACGGGTTGCCAAATGTCCCTCAAATATTGTCGGCTTGTTTTAAATTGACGTGCCGTGTGTTGTATTTTAATCGGAACGTCTCGCCGAGTCTCAAGAAATCCTTCATAGGAGAGAGATCCGACCGTGTGCATGAGGGAAGATGGATTGTGACATGGCAGGCCCATGAATGACGGGTGATGACATCCAGCGGTGGATATTGAAACAGGCAGATCATAAAAGTCACCCTTCTGGCAGAAGCTCGGGGTCAATTACAATTGTTCAGTGTTATCCGCGGTGATTTGCAACGACAATGTCGTAATTTAAACGAACAATGCTTGTGTAAATTGTGATTTACATTGTAGTATAATTTTGTCGCAGGGCAGTTTTCTGGCTGCGCCTAGCCGTGAGGTCAGCGCAGTGTCACCTCCGTCCGTACCGTTCAAAAAACGAGGCGTGCGCTCGGTGGGGGCGCTTGAAAATCGCTTTAAAATCTCTTTTCTCACCAACGAAGCTGAGGACTCAAGTGGGACACCCCAGAAAGCACCGCTCCTGTTTTTTTTGTGTTTATTTTGTTGTGCTTCCCCTGCAGCGCCGATTGGCACGGTTGGCTACGTACGGTGCGAAAGAAGTTCAACGCACATACGTAGCTACAAGAGAAGAACTTTGGGTTACGCATCTCTCGTAACGCCACCGGGACTAGCGCGAATCCTAAGAGGCATCGCGCGACTTTTTATTGGCTAAGTCTGCCTAACAGGCTCGCGCATGCGGGGGTAATGCTAATCCGTCTGTCCAATTAAGACGGTGTTCCATCGTGTTCGTCCTACACTTGGCCATGCTGCATAACTCGACGTTCAGTGGATTTGCCTGCCAGTAGGTCAATGAGTGCTGTATTTTAACAGTGACGAGGTTACCCTACAATGTCTAAATGTGGAGCTGGGTGCAGTACGGTTTGAAGAGCATCGGTGCTCTTCCTCGTTTTGAGAACCTTGAGGTTCAATCCTCATGACACATCACCAACACCAGCACACACCAACACCAGCACCACCACTAACAATGACGGCAAGACCGCCATCGTCATCACCACTATGAAAGTCGCCGCCACCATTATTACTACCATTGTTACGTCCACTACTATGACTGCCAACACTCTGCCACCACAATCGCCACCACTAACAAACAATGCCACCATCATAACCACCATTACTCTCACCAAATAACCAAACCACTATATCACTACCACCACCATTCATCCCTCTGCATCAGGGGTGGGGAACCTGTTTTTCTGCCAAGGGCCATTTGGATATTTATAACATCATTCGCGGGCCATACAAAATTATCAACTTAAAAAATTAGCCTGTCATATTTGGTCAAACATTTAATTAACTCGCCCGTAATGCGGTGACTGGAACTGCTTCTCTTTAGTGAGGCGTGTGATGTTAGCTGGTTATTGATGATGTTTCTACTCGCAACTGCTTTTCCAGGTTTGCTCCGAGATTTATTGAATTTCGAGTCCCGCCTGCGGTTGACTTGGCAGGGCCAGAGACAAAATGATTTCGCGGGCCTCATACGGCCCGCGGGCCGGACGTTCCCCACCCCTGGTTTAGGGTCACTACCTGTACCAGAACATCATTCATCAACCGTGCAATGTTTCATTGTTGCCTCTCCGATGTGTTTTCGGGTTGTTACCGCGTGTTGTTCAGCACAACATCTGGCATTTCGGGACACGTGCCTCGAGTTTCTTCAAGAACTGAACTGAACTGGATGCCGAGCAACACTCGGTAGGACGTGGAAACCCATCGGACCATGACAACAGACACAGTAGCACCCTGGTTTTGATTATTGTGAGAGCGACATCAGATAAGTCTACTGTATAAGAGCTTTACGGATAAAGGCACAGTAATCCGATGGACTCCTAGTCATGACATTGCTGGGGACTCGAAGGGATGACCCCAAAGCTGCTTACGGAAATGCTTCATGCGCACTCAACATTACGCACAGAAATCGCACCTGTTAAGGCCTGGACGGCGCACGAGGGGCAGGGATGCGGCTTCCACGACGGCGAGATGTAATCTACCTTGCCCGGCATACAGGATGTTGTGGGTTCGATCCCGACCCTGACCCTGGTATATTTGGAGTTTGCATGTTCTCCCCATCGTCGTGTGGATTTTGCTCCGGGTCTGTGGCACCACTCCCCAGTGTATAGCCTACATAGGCTGTTGGGGCAAGCGCTGCTTAGCGCAGTGTCAGCACTGGGAGTAATGATAGTGGTGCAGTGGACTGCGCACTGCCCTCGGAATCTGGCGGCCTGGGTTGGATTCCCAGCCTCGGCAAACATCAGCGACGAGCAGAGCCGTCCATAGGGGGGTGCGGGGCCCTCAAACTAAACCGGAAGTATTACATCTGACATTGTGACGTCGAAGCGCAGGACCCCACCCCCAAAGCGCGGGGCCCGGGGCTGTCGCCCCGAATCGCCATACCCAAGGGACGGCTCTAGTGACGAGTGATACCAGCAACGGTTATGTGTCTTCCCTAGGTCGACTCAGCCTTACCACGGTGTATAATATGGTGCAGTGTGTAAAAATCGGCACCGGGGAAGCAAAGGTGGCCTTCAAAGGTGTTCACGAGAGTATTTAAAGTACAATCATGTTCCTTATACCCTGCACAGACTTTTGGGGCAATTCCTGTAGCAAGCACATATGAAAGCCGACACGGTACAAGAGGGGGTGGGTGGCCAGAACAACGCCCGGCTGCCTTTGTCTCCCCAGTGTTGATCTTTACACACTGCACCATGTACTCATTTGAGGCTGAATTGACCTAGGGGAGGCCCATGACCAGTTCAAGTTCGTTAGTGTTATTGGTCGTGAGCACGAGTCAAATTCAGGGCACTGGGTTCATAGCGTAGTGCGTTTACCACTACAAAGATCCCCTGTATAGCCTTAAGAGACAATTCTATGAAAGCAGGCACGGCACATGATGGGCTGGGTGGCCATCACCGCACCGCACAGACACTCACATTCACTCATGAGTCAATTTGTAATCAAACAATTTACAAAACGGCAGAGATGTTACCAATAAAAAACACATTTTTACTTTGAAGACAAATATATCAAGTGCACCGCAACTCTAGCCTTGTTTCAATGTAACATCGAGGCAGCACAACAAAAACCGGAGCCATTGAAAAGAGTGACATCGCGTGGCTGGCATGGGCCCTGATGCAAGGAATTCAATTTAACTATACACTACATTAATTTACCAGGTAAGGCCCACTGAGCCATATAGCTTGTTTTCAGAAGCGACCTAGCCACAAATAACAGCTCAACGAAGTGGCTCATCGTCATGTGCAAATTTATAGCAGCCAAATATTATTGTACTCTAAACGCGTGTTTATAAATGCGGAGGGGAAAAACCGGAGGACCCGGAGAGAACCCACTTGTCCACTGGGAGAGAGACCACGCAAACTCCAAATATACACGAGTCAGGGTCGGGATAATAATTATATTTCTATAACGCTTTCCATCAAGGATCTCAAAGCGCTATAAAGAACACAGCAGCAGCAGCAGACACTCAGCATAACAATAATTATATAAATACATTTTAAGAATCCATTCACGAAATCAACTAAAAGTTTAGTAAGCGGAAGCGTGTAAATAGCTTTTCAGACGCATTTAAAAACATGTCCACAGACTCAGAGATCGCTGATGTCTCGTGGAAGAGTGTTCCATAGCCTGTTTGCTACACGGGAAACAAATCTCGGTCACTTGGGAATGCATAGAAGATCTGCATCCCCAGATCTTAGGGGCCTTGAGGGGACATATGGGTGCAGCATATAAATGATGTGGGCAGGGGCAAGATGGTTCACTGCTTTGTAAGTTAACAATATGATTTTAAACTGTATTCAATGTGAAACTGGAAGCCAGTGCAGGGAGGCCAACACGGGCGTAATGTGATGTGAAGGTATTCTGGTTAACACCCTAGCAGCCGCATGCGGAACATGCTGTCTAATGTGTGGGTGGTCCTCTGGGGGAGTTGCACCGCGTGCTCACACACCCTTGCCCATAGCTACGCCACAGGGCCGACGATGGGAGCCTGCCAACACTGACCAAGGATGACAGCGGAAGACATCAGTGGAACGAGAGTTGGTTGGTGAATCTGTGCGAGCCGTGGTGCACTCTGGTTGGGGTGGAGGGGGGGAGTTCTGATGTTCTGTTAGGGGTGGTAAACACCCCCTTAAAGGGAGGGGTATCTATATATAAAATATATAAGCAATCTATACGTGGAGTTGTTTTACTACCTTGCATGCAGTATTGTGACAGAACACTATTACTATTCCGTATATACAAGACTGCTTATACAATTTTCAAAATTCACCATCTGCCACGATCTATCCACTTGTGGGCGAGGCTTGCCCCTTACTCCCCCAAGCAGTTCGCCGTCTCTCACGGTCTTGCAATTGTAACGATTCACGTGGCAACGCGAATTGACTTCATGGCTCCATCTCGGCAAGTTGGAGGGGGATGATTGATGTCCTCTCGCGCGTGTTGGCTCTTCCTCTGCTGCCACCTGCCGGAACTTCCTCTTCAAACACCATCGCCTCGTCGTGAGCTCTCGCCAAAAGGTGAAATGTTTCTGTTCGCGATAGGTTGTCTGTCGCTCTGGTCATTTACACATTTCGCGACGTGTTTGCTGGGTTATATTAGCCAAGCTGATGGGCCTCACCCATCGTGTGGTAGTGGAGACTCCACATACGTGGCTCCCGGAGGGGTAACACTTTGCAGCAGTGAGCATTGGCGACTATAATGCACTGATGAGTCCTAATAAGCAGGGGACCGGTCCACAGTTATCTATCACGGCTGCTTGTTTTGTCGGGCACGTATGCTGAAATGTATTTTGATGGTGGCCCAAGCACTAGCAGACGACCAGAATGTGTATTCGGGAAATGTTGATGGGAATTTTGCATAATTTGTTTTACACATTTGGGGCCGTTCATAAATGACGTCACGCGATTTTGGACAATTTTTGACCCCCCCCCTCGTCACACGGCGTCA